AGCATTTAGGCAGAGATGGTACAAGAGAAGGAGCTGAAAGTTATACATCTTGATCCAAAGGCAATAAGAAGTGAACTGTCACTGGGTGTAAGTTGAGCATAGAAGACCTCAAGTCCCATCTACACAGTGACACGATTCCTTCAACAAGGCCACACCTACTCCAACAAAGCCACATCTTCTAATAGTGCCACTCCCTATGGGGGCCATTTTCTTTCAAACCACCACACTGTCAAACCTGGGAGTCCATGGTGTAGGAGAAGGAACAGAAATAAAACTAAATGGAATAGACATACTAATGGCACACGGTGCACAGACAAACATACAGGCAAAACATTCATACACATTTTTTTTAATTTAGAGGAGATTATAGGGGGGAAGATAATGTAACAATTTTAAACATTTATGCACCAAATATCAGAGTTGCTAATGTCATAAAACAAACATTAAAAGGCAATAATTGATCATATAGGCCATGACACAAAAGTAGGGATTTCAACACCCCAATCACATATTTAGATAGGTTCTCCAAAACAAAAATAAGCAAAGAAACTTCAGAGCTAAAATATACTATGAATCAACTGGACTTAAACACACATATAAAGAGTATGGTGCCAACACATATGGAGTGCATAATTTTCTGAGTGGCACATGGAACATCCTCCAATATTGATGATATCATAGGACACTGTGGTGGTTTGAATGATAGCAGCCCTCATAGTAAGTGGCACTATTAGGGTGTGTAGCTTTGTTAGAGTAGGTGTGGCTTGTTGGAAGAAGTGTGTCACTGAGAGAAAAGCTCAAGCTATGCCTAGTGTCTCACTCTCTCTTTCTGCTGCCTGCCGATCCAGATGGCTCCTTCTCCAACACCATAATTGCCTTTGTGCTGCAATCTTCCCCCTGTGATGACAATGGATTAAACCTCTGAACTGAAAGCCAGCTCGAGTCAAATGTTTTCCCTAAGAGCTGGCCATGGTCATGGTATCTCTTCATAGCAATAAAACCCTAACTAAGACAGATTCAAATCAAGTCTTAACAAACAAAGAATCACAATAAGTCTTTTTGTCCTATCAGGGTACAATGGAATAAAAATAAAAATTAGCAACAACAACACTACAGAAAACACTTGAAGGTTAAATAATACAGTTTTTAAACAAACAATTGGTCATTTGAGAAATCGGAGAGCAACTTTTAAAATGTCTAGAATTAAATGAAAGTCAGAACCCAACCTATGAGAGCTCTGAGGTGCAGCCACGGGAGCCCCAAGAGGAAAGTTTATAGCAGGAAGTGCTCACATTTAAAATGCTGAGAGATGGCAAATAAATAACCTAATGATGCGCTTGAAGACTTTTGAAAAACAAGCAACCAATTACAAACATCAAGAAAGTGGGGAAGAAATTAGTGAGGTAGAGACTAAGAGAATAATAATACATGATCAACCAAACAAAGAGCAGGCCCCTTGAAAAAGTTAATAAGATTGACAAACTCTTAGGTAATCTGACAAAAAGAAAGAAGGAAAAGGCATGAATCAACAAAATTGAAATGGGAAGTGTGTGGTTACAACAGACTTCAATGAAGTCCAGGACATAACTGAAGAATATTTCTTAAAATATTCTTTGAAAATATTGGAAAACCTAGCAAATTAGATAAATGTAACTATACATATGACCTACTAAAAGGAAATCCAGAAGATATAAGTAATTTAAACAGACCTATTACAAGCAACAAGATGAAAGATATAATCAAGTCTCCTCTCCAAGAAAAGCCAGGTGGATTCAGTGCTGAAGTCTATCAAACTCTCAAGGAAGAGCTCATAGAAATTCTTAACTTGTTCCACGAAATAGAAAGTGAAAAAACACTACCAAATTGAATCTAGAAAACATTACCCATTACCAAACCAGACACAGACAAAAAAAGAAAAGAAAATAACAGAGCAATTTCTTAATAAACATAAATGCAAAGTTCTCAACAAAATACTTGCAAACTGAATTCAGGAATACATTAAGAAGTCTATAAAGGGGCTGGAGATGTGGTTCAGCAGTTAAGAGCACTTGCTGCTCTTCCAGAGGACCTGGGTCCAATTTTCCAAACCCACATGGACACACTCAACCATCTGTAATTCCACTTCCAGGAAATCTGATGCCCTCTTTAGGCCTCCACAGGAACCAGGCAGACACATGGCACACAAACATACATGCAAGCAAAACAAAGCAAAAAGATTCTGAACTTGACTAAATTCCTTGATATAGATAGAATGAAATCATTGTACGAGAATCCATTTCCAATACATTTGCAATTGAAGATAATTACATAAAATAAGGAGAAAAAATGTTGGGGGAAGGGGGTCTCACTGTCTCTAGAGGAGAAGGAGGAAATGCACACGTAACTGTTGATAACAGTTGAGGAGACAGGAAGGTCTGGGTATGAGGGATGACAGCAGACAACCTGTAATCCTAGTATTCAGTAGACTAAAGCAGGGCAGGAGGGTGGAGAGTTCAAGGCCAGCCCAGGGCTATAAAGTAAGACCTAGTCTCCATAAATAGATAAATTAAGTGACTACATTAACCTGTAAATAAAAATATAAGTGGGGATGTTGTATTTCTTCCTCAAGGAGATATACATCCCTCTGCCTCTGCTGGAATTAAATAAAAGGCATGTGTCACCACACCCGTCCATTTTTTCCTCTTTATTTTTCTTCTGTCCATGTCAAGGGATTGGCTGACTTAGTTATATCATATATTTTGAGACATAGTCTTTTTATGTTGCTCAGGCTGGCCCCAAACTCTCAAGCCTCCTGCTTTAACATGCCAAATGTCTGAGACTACAGGCATGCACCATGGTACCCAACCTCTTTTGGAATCTCACAAGCCTTCTCATAGGGTCAACCGCATTGTTTGTAGGGCCCAGTGTGAAATGGAAGGGTAAGGCCTTCTGTTCAAAAATGACTGTGAACATTCAGACAGCTACATCAGAGGATTAAGGCAATTAACACGAGAGCTATTTGACATGGCCAGAGTCAGGCGTGGTGACAGACTCTAATCCCAGCACTTGGGGGTCTGAAGCAGGATGACCATGAGTTTGAGGTCATCCATGGCTATATAGTGGGTTCAAGGCCAGTCTGGGTTATCTGAGACCCTGCCTGAAATTAATCAATTAACTCACTTAAAATTTTAAAAACAAACAGAGTGTAAAGCCAGGCATGGCTGCCAAGGTTTCTGGCCCGTCATGCTTGCCCTGTGGTCTGCATCCACACACTTTCCTCATCTTTCTCTAACGCCCCAATCCCTCACCGTTATCTCTTCGCAGATATGTTCTTTCCATCACCCTCAGCCTCACGCCCCACCTCTCCACCTTGGATTAGCCCGTGCACCCCATGTTGCAAACACGTCCTGACTCTCTGTTCTTGAGCCCCAGGGTCACCAATGTGGTTCTTCTCCACCTGACATCTGAGTCATCCCTGTGAAGGAGCGTGGGCGTGGTCAGGTGCTCCCATTGTGGTTTGTTCTTCCCAACCAAGAGCTTCCCCCAGTTTTCTCTGAAGTGTCTGAGGGTGGCCAGATGTGGCAGGGCACACCTGGGATCACAAATACAAACATGTCTTTGACGCCAGCCTCGGCTACCTAGCACATTCCATTCGATGCCGGCCCTCACTACGGAGCAAGAGCTTGTTTCAAGAAACAGAAATAAATGGCGTAAAATAAGTAAAACGAATGATGCAGGACGTCACCCTTCCCCACAGCACACGCTGACTTTCTCCAGAAGAAACACTCTGCTCTCTGAGGCGGCACATATGTCTTTCTTATTAAGGCGTGGTTCTCAACCTGTGGGACACGACCCCTTTGAGGGTTGAATGACCCTTTCACAGGGGTCAACTAAGACCATATGCATATCAGATATTTACATTAGGATTCATAACAGTAGCAAAATTACCATTACAAAGCAGCAACAAAAATAAGTTTGTGATTGGGGGTCAGCACAACATGAGGAACTGTACTAAGGATTGAGGCATAAAGGTCACCCTGGAGTTACTGTGTTCTGAAAACCTTCTGCTTTGTCTACTTTTGTTCCAAAGAGCTCCTAGGTAGCTCGATTTTTTTTTCTTTTGCTTTCGTTTGGACTTTTTGAAACAGGGCCTCATGTAACCCAGATTGACCTCCAACTCATTATTTAGTTGGAGCTGGCCTTGAACTCCTGGCCCTGCTCTATGTCCAGTGGTACTGGGGTTAGTAATGTGCATACCACATGGGGCTCCCGATGGTTTCTGACTGAGACATCTAGAACCATTTAAACAATATTTTTCCCTCATTTCTTTCTTTGGCAGAAGGTAGACAGAGTTACTGCCATCCCCAACGTATTTTGCTAGGTCAAAGAGCAAGGAGGCAGGCTGGCTAGTGGTGCATGTTTATAATTCCAGCACCAGGGAAGCTGAGCCAGGAGGGAGGAGGGCCAGGGCTATATAAAAAGACTCAAGGGAATAAAACAGAAAGCAAAGAGCAAAGATGAAAGCCCGCCTCTGAGGGGCTGGGTGGTGAGAAAGGCCTTTGTGGTACTTGGTCAGGTCTTTGTTTATGTTTTGATCTGTCCCTTTGTTCCTTGGCCACAACACTTCCTTCCAGGATAAGCAGGGGACTTCAGCAGCCTCTAAGTTTATGGTGAAGGGTCAGTGGGAGCAATACATTGCCCTGCCGTGGGCATTCAGCCATTACACCAGTTTTGTCCCGAAGCTACACTGTCTACTCTTGTACCCTAGTCATCCTTCAGGCCACCTCGTCCCCGTCTGCACCACGTGAAACCCACATCCCTCCACCACAGACTGTCCCCTGTGTGTCTGCACACCGGGCTTTCCCTCTTATCCCTCAGTCTTGCCCATCTCCTTCAAAGCTCTCTGGCACTGAACTCTCCTCATTCTGTCAGCCCGCTCTTCCTCTTCCTTCTCTCCTCCCTGCGCAGAAACGTCCCACGCCTCCCATACTGACATAATCCTCCTTTCCCATCGCTCTGACCTTGTCGTTGTGGTTTTCCCTCGCTTTACAGCCGAATGAATTGAACAAATATCCCTCGCAGTCTGTCTGCACTTCCTCACCTCCCACGCATGCGCAGCCCACGGCAAACTGGTTTCCTCCTGACCTCGCCACTGAAACCACTTTGACAAAGACTCCTTTGGCTGAACTCAGTGGGCGCGCTCAATCTTTATCTCACTGAACCTCTCCAGGAGTGTCTCTGGTTAAATACCCCTTTCTTCATGCAGCTCGCTCCCCGGGTTTTCCACACCTTCCTCTCCTCATCCTCCTCCTCTATTTCCGGCACTCTGCTCTTGTGGAAGCACCTCAGTTTGGACCTTCCCCCTTTATGCCTAGCCCCAATCCTAGAGAGACCATAGCGAACAACTCACAAAGCGGGACATGAACTTAGGGTTCCACTAATGTAACTGATAGCCAGGAGTTACCCTGAACCCCAGTGTCACGTTTAATCAAGAGCCTGCTGAACTCAGCACGGAGGCACCTCGGCACTACACTCTACAGCATCAAATAAACGAGAACAATTCCAGTCTATGAGTCCGGAGGGAGCCAGGCTTGCGGACAATTGGCTTATTATCCTTCCGTTCAGAGCCGCTCCCGCTTTTGAGAACGTTGGTCCCACAGCTCTCTCAATGCTCTCTCTCACCTCAAACCATAGCCTCCATCACCAGGGAGTGAGCTATTTCTAAGTCTTTGAAAAGAGAAACTCCGGTCCCTGTGTCTGCATGCTCTCACAGATGACGCGCCCGCCCGTGTCTTATCTGTGGGTTCTGTTTGTGGTTTCCCTTGCTGCCCTCTCTTAAACCAACTGTAACCATGACCTCCCCAGACACTCCACCAAAGTGGAGTTATCACTTATGGCTGCGACTTCTGTGCCACAAAATCCAGTGGTCAGTTGTTGAGGTCCGATGCTAGCCCAGACTCTAAATTATTTCTCCAGACCAGACCCCAACATAAACTATCTCTCTCTTGACTAGTGTGGAGGCACAGGATAAAGACACAACTCACGTGGCTTCATCGGAAGGGAGATTCTCGGCGTCCCCTCATAAAGTCCTGAGTTCACATCCTGAAGAATTCCTCCCACTTTATTCTCCAAACAGCCTTATATATCAAAACATAAACTGAGGGGTACAATCATTAGCATTCTGTTTCCTAGGTAACCAGGTGACTGTCTTTTAGTCACGTCCACAACAACCTGTCTGCTCTGTATGCTAGCTGTCACGTAGGCTTGAATCAGAATCTCTATCAGGCATCCTCCAAATTACAAAGAAAGAAGCAAAAACAACCTCCTCCTGACCTTTTGCTAGATGTTGACAGCCTGTCTTGGAAGGTTATGTGACCACTTCAGGTGGGGAACTACGGCTTCATACCCTGGCTGCCATAAATATGGGCCAATAGTCAGTTCTCAGGCTTCCTGCTCCATCCCCTGTAAGCAGTGGAGATACACTCAATTCTTATCTGTCATTTACTCTCCTCACCTGGCTTTCAGGTTCTCTTTCTCCCTTGTTTTGCACCTCACTGTTAAGTCCTTTGCACTTCAAGAGGCGTTGGGCACTGGTGATATTTCTTCTTCTTTCTGTTGGCGTTAAATCGCCAGTAACCTTAGTTTCCTTATTATCTTGAATCAATGATTCCCAGATCCTAGTTCCCTCTACAGTCTTTTAACGTCGTTCTTGGGCATCGGAGAGACGCCTCAAGTTCAACGTGTCCAAAATGGAAGCTAATCTGCTTCACCCAGGAAACTCTGCTTCAGGTAAAGGGAATCCCGATCTTCCGTGTACTCAAGCCAAAGAGCTGGTGCAGTGGTTTGAATGTGTAATGTCCCCTAGAAGCTCATGTATTTCAGCCTTTGGACTCCAGTCGTGGTGCTATTTTGGAATATTGTGGAACCTTTAGGGGGGATAGCCAAGCTGGAGGAAACGGACCACTGGGGCACATTGAGGTTCATAGACCAGCCTCACTTCCTGTCCACTTTCTGTTCCCTGACAGAACGACCAACAGCCAGGCCTCACTCCATGTGAGGCAGGATTAAGAATATCTAAATGCTAGAGTTTCCAGTTAAACTCACAAAATTTCAAAGATGGTTGAATTCTCTGTCCAGCTGCTGTGTTGAGGGATGAGCAATGTTTAAATAGTTAACAAAATGAGGATACACATTCTTCCTTAATTATCATGTATTTAGCTTGTATAACACTTCGGTCTCTATTCCCTATAGTTGGCAGGATTTGGATCATGATTTGCCCTTATTTCAGCAAACTTGACTTCAGATCCTAATGATCCCAGGGGCAGTGCAAGATGCAGAGACGAGGACTTAGAAGCCAGGAGAGCAAACAGACGTGAATGGAACAGGACTATGGATTCCTAGGAACATTAAATCCAATCTCCTTTGCAAATCTAGCTGTTAGCACCCAAGAGTTATTTGCTCTGCTCTTGGCTGCCTTCCATACTCGATTTTGATATTGAATACTCAGACCTAATTGAGGCATCTATATTATTCTCTCCAAGGCCCAGGGAACATCAGAGGGGAGGTAGACCTTAAGAGCTGGAGGGTAGAGAGGGTTTGATGTGCATACTGTCTTCTGGACATGTGATTATGGGATGGATGACTGTCACAATCACAAATACACAGCAGCTGTGGCTACTGTGCCAGGCCCGCATGTGTGCACACACACAATGCACACAGAGAGGTGGGGGAATAGGGAGGTTCTATAAGAAAGCAGGCTGAGCAAGGCAGGGAAAACAAGCCAGTAAGAACACTCCCCCTCCACGGCCTCAGCATCAGCTCCTGCCTCCACGGTTCCTGCCCTGCTTGAGTTCTTGTCCTGACTTCCTTCAATGATGAACAATGATGTCGAAGTAGAAACCAAACAAATGCTTCCCTTTGCAACTTCTTTTTGAACATGGTATTTCATCACAGCATTAGAAAGCCTAACCAAGACACAATCACATAAGTACGTTAAACGTGTTGAAATTGTAACACCAATCTACCCTCTTATCCTCCTCCTCTCACTGATTCCCTTCTTCCTAACTTACAGAACCCAGCACCACCGGCCCAGAGATGGCACCACCCACAATGGGCTTGGCCTTGATCGCTAATTAAGAAAATGGTCTACAGGCTTGCCTACAGCCTCATCTTACGGAAGCATTTTATTAATTGAAGCTCCCTCCTCTCAAATGCCTTTGGTTTGTGTGAAGTTTCTACCCAGAATAATGAGTATACAAAATATCATTAGAAATCATTTTATTGTTGTGGTTTTTTTAGACCAGTATTATTTGCTTTTTCCACTGGGTCTCTGGTCTTTGGTCACCCAAACAATATCAAGTATGGGTTCCATCTCCTGGAGTTGGGCCTTAAGTCAAATCAGACATTAGTGGGTTACTTCCCTGAGCTTTGTGCCACCATTGCTCTAGCCTATTTGGCAGGTGGGACAGATTGTGGAGCAAAGGTTTTGAGGCTGGGTTGGTGTTTATGTTTCTCTTTTGCTAGCCTGCAGAGGTACCTTCCTGTACCAAAGATACCAGAACATGGTGGTGAAGTTTCTATGTAAGTACTCGCTCAACCTCTCCATGTTCAGTGAGTTGTGTGGGTGTTGTCTTCAGCAACGGGGCCTTGCTGTCAGTTTGTGGAGAGCAACCAACTGTCTTAACAATAGGATGGGTTGTTTGGGGATTTCCATGGAACCCTCTAAGCCAACAACTCAATTGGATGCAGCCCAGTCCAGTACTGGAAGCTTTGTTTGGTGACAAGGGGTGACCATCTGGGACTCCATATCCCTCATTCTCTGGAGACTTCATGAAGGGATCACCTTCATAGATTTTAGGAAGTTTCTGCTGTTCTGGGTTTCCATACCACACCTCAAATGCCCCCCAATTCTCGATATCTCTCCCTGTATATTCTCTGCCTCAATCCTCTCTCCTCTCCCCTTTATCACCTGAACTTCACATTCCTTCCCTTCTGATCCCCATTCCACCCATGAAATCTATTCTATTTGCCCCTCCCCAAAAGGTCCTTGTATCCCCCTGGTCCCTTCCTCTATGCCTAACATCTATGGATCGTAGCTTGGTTATCATTTATTTAATGACTAATATCCACATATAAGCAAATATATACCATATTGATATTTCTGGATTCAGGTTACCTCACTCAGGATAGTTTTTTTCTAGTTACATATATTTTCCTGTAAATTTCATGTCATTTTTACTCCATTGAGTAAAAGTACCACATTTTGTTTATCCATTCTTCTGTCAAGGGACATCTAGGTGGTTTCCAGTTTCTGACTATTATGAATAGAGCAGTAATAGCTGAGCAAGTATTTTTGTGGTAGGATGAAGCATCCTTTGGGTATATGCCCAAGAGTGGTGTAGCTAGATCTTGAGGTAGATAAATTCCCATCTTTCTGACAAACTGCCATAGTAATTTTCATAATGACTATATAAGGCACCAGCAATGGATGAGTGTTCCCCTTGCTCCACATCCTGGACAGTCTGAGCTGTCATGTGTGTTATTGGTCCTAGCCATTCGGCAGGTGTAAGATAGAATCTCAAATTTGCATTTCCCTGATGGCTGAATATGTTGAACATTTTTAAAGTGTTCCTCAGCCATTTGAGTTTCCTCCATTGAGAATTCTGTTTAGAAATGTACTCCATTTTTTTTCTCACTGGGTTGTTTCTTTTGATATCTAGTTTCTTAACTTCTTTATATATTTTGTATATTAGTTATCTATCGGATGTGGAGTTGATAAAAATCTTTTCCTATTCTGTATCCTGCCACTTTACCTAATGACGGTGTCCTTTGCATTACAGAAGCTTTTCAGTTTCATGAGGTCACATTTATTAATTGTTGATCCTAGTGCCTGCTCTATCAATGTTGTGTTCAGAAAGTCTTTTCCTGTAGCAGTAAGTTCCAGACTAACCCCCCACTTTCTCTTCTACTAGATGCAGTGTATCGGGTTTTATGTTGAGGTCTTTGATCCAATTGGAGTTGAGTTTCTGCAGGGTAAAAAGTGTGGATCTATTTGCATTCTTCTACAT